TCACCAGCGGCACATCCACGCGTGCGAAGCGGTACGGCGACGACACCCGCGAGTGCGCGGGGAAGAACAGGCTGTCGAGCAGGCCAGCGCCGCCGTCCGACATCGGGCAGTGCACAACGTCGGCGTGCGCGTCGGTACCCGCCTCAGCGGTACGGAACGCACGCTCAATCGCGAGGCCAGCGTCGCAGGCGGTGAGCGTGCCCTTGAAGGAGTCGCAGCACGCAAGCACGCTCTTCCACGAGAAACGATTCACTTTCGAGGGCATTTCAAGGAACGAGATTCAAAGAAGAGTTCGCAGTAGCGGTCCTTCTGTTATTTAGACGTATGTCGTAGTGTTGTTTTGGCTGTGATTTCCTCGCAAAGGAAAGGCCATACACACAGATGGAGAGCGACACACACACACACACACACAGAGAGAGAGAGAGAGAGAGAGCAGCAGAAGGGTAAGAGAGGCCTAACACGGCAAGGCAGCACACACACAAGCAGCACGGCAGCAAGCAGCGGCACATTGGGCCACCTCAAAGAAAAAGTCCACAGAAATATGACTAAACTAGAGTGAGTGGGCAGCACGCCGGTCTACGCTCGAAGCGTCCCCCTCAGTCATCACCATCGTCATCGCTGCTCTTCTTCCACATCCCCGCAGCGCCTTCGCCGCCGGCTCTTTCAATCGCCTCTTCCACTGCAGCAGCAGAGGGGAGCTCGTCCCGAAGCTGCTCCACCGACGGCAGCACGCGCTCCAACTCGGCAGCGCTCGGCAGCCCCGACGCGTCACCACCCACAGCCCCACCCATGTGGCTGCCGCCGCTGGTGTTGTCCGTGCCACCACCGCCGAAGAGAGCGTGGCCTCGCGCCGCCACGGCAGCGTCATCGGGGTGCAGCTGCTGCTGGGGCGGCTGTTGCCGGGCAGCGGGGAATGCCTTGCGGTTCGCAAACCACGAGCGCCGACTCTCGCAGAGTACAGCATGGGTTGCCCCCCCTCCTCCACCTCCGCCTGATGGCTCTGCTGGTGCAATGGGCAACGGCCCAATGCGGGGCCTCCCAAGCCGTCGGAGTGTGTGGCCGACGCGGGAGTGCATCACGGACACAATCGGTGCCAACGCTGCTGTTATGGTAGCGGTAACGCTTAATCACCTCTCTGTGCGCAACACAGGCACAGCTACAGACCTACAGTGCAGACGTATGCATGCGTACCAACGATGAACACACAAGCAAAGACACACAGGCGTAGAATCAGTCTTTTTGTTGTGTGCGCGTGTATCCGCAGTGCGCCAGCGAGAAACAGTCTGAACTGGCTCTACGCAACAGCCACCCGTCACACACACACACATATGCGGGGAAATGGCGGTCAACAGTGCTGGGACTAAGACGTAGGAGACACAAGGCCACACGCCCATCCCACCTCAGTGCATCTGTCCCCGCCACTTCCCCCCGTTTCTCTTTACCTCGGTTGTCGCTGCATTTGCTTGTGGTGGTGTGCCAAAGTGATCTGCGGCAGGGGACGAGACAAAGACACAGAGAGAAGAGAAGGTGTGGGGCACCGCACCGCCAAGTCAACAAGAATAGCCGCTGCAGGCTCTGTCCCCACGTCACCTCAGCCGTCATTTTATTTCCAAAAATGGTCTGAACAGAAAATAATTACCATTATCTCGCTTGGGNCTGCAGGCTCTGTCCCCACGTCACCTCAGCCGTCATTTTATTTCCAAAAATGGTCTGAACAGAAAATAATTACCATTATCTCGCTTGGGCTGAAGCAGCTCATATCCATTTGCTTCCGTCCCACCTTTTGTTTTGCCTGCAAGGCGTTCAAACTTCCACGCAGGTGTGTTACACCTCCTCTTACTCACGCATTTCCTCGCGCTCTTATTCTTCTTATCCAGGCCTATAAAGCATCCAAATAGAAACGCTCCCGTGGTGCGGGGTGGGGGCGCGCACCTCCGCCCTCACGCCCCGCTCCTCTGCGGCTGCGGGCAAGTGTTAGCCCGCAACGGGAACAAAGGCACGCACACCAACAGGACACCACAGCGCACACGAAGCACCAACAACAGAATCACATATTAGCAGATATCACACAGGAGAAAGAGAAGGGGGCCCTTTCCCTCATTCATTATCGTGCCCGTTTTACATTGGGCCTTCACACACAGACAGACGTGCACAGAGGAAGAAAAGCAGGAGCCCCACGGGGCCGCCATCAGCAGTAGAACCGGCTGGNCCGTTTTACATTGGGCCTTCACACACAGACAGACGTGCACAGAGGAAGAAAAGCAGGAGCCCCACGGGGCCGCCATCAGCAGTAGAACCGGCTGGCGGTGGGGACTACAGCTTCGCGGAGCACTTCCGTGCCGGCGTCGTCGCCACGTGCGGCGCGTCGCCCTCGGTGCCGGAAACGTACCACATGATGCGCTTCTCCACACACGCACCGGCGTTGCCCAGCGCCTCCGGCACCGTGAAGTGGCGCGGCGTGAGCGGCAGCAGGTGCACGCGCGGCACCGCAGCGACGAGGCTGGCGTCGTCGCTCTTGTACTCCTTCTGCACGCGCATGTGGTCGATCAGCACGCTCCGCACCTCCTCCGCGTCACGGTACGACGTCCTGCCGCACACGACAATGACGTCGCCGAGGATCGCCTGCCCGCGCTCGCGGCGACGCAGGTTCTCCAGCACCACCAACTGCAGAAGGCGCCCGAGCGTCTTGTTGTAGCGGATGGTCTGCTCGTCAAAGGAGCCCTCGCCGGTGATCATGCAGTCGCACACACGCATCTTCTCAGGCAGGCCGAGCAGCTCGGCAACAACGTCGGCGCCGGCCATCCACCGCGCGCTCAGCACGTAGCGGAAGAAGCCGCTCATGCCGCCCGCACCGCCGCCACCAGGCGTGTTGCACAGCGCCTCGAGGTGGCGCTTCAGCTGCTGCTCGCTCATCTGCGAGTCATG